TTGAACGACTAGAACAGTATGGGCTAAAGCTCAAGGCATCCAAATGTTCATTCTTTCAAGATAAAGTTAACTACTTGGGTCACGTGATATCTTCTGCTGGGATAGGCACAGATCCCTCAAAGACGGAGGCAGTGAAGAAGTGGCCGACTCCCACAGATCTTGATAGTCTTAGAACATTTTTAGGGTTTTCAGGTTACTACCGAAGATTCGTACGAAACTACGCAAGGATTGTRAAACCTCTGACCGATATGCTTAGGACCAATACCGCCAAACGTAAGAATAACGACCACGACAGTTGGAGTTGGAACGAACAGTGCCAGTATGCTTTTGATAGTATTGTAGAGAAGTTAACTTCACCGCCAATTCTGAGCTATCCGGATTTCGACAAGCCGTTCCTGGTAAACATTGACGCAATCTACGATGGTTTAGGTGCAACCTTGAGCCAACTAGAAGAGGGGAAAGAGAGAGTGATTGCCTATGCTAGTAGATCACTACGCAAGTCCGAGTGTAACTWTCCTGCTCATAAACTAGAATTTTTGTGCTTGAAATGGGCCATCACTGAGAAGTTTCACGAGTATCTCTACGGGAACAATTTTTCCGTTAGAACAGACAACAACCCACTCACATATGTAACCTCAAGTGCCAAGTTGGATGCTACTGGTCATCGGTGGTTAGCTACCTTGGCTACGTATAACTTCAATATCGAGTACCGATCAGGAAAACTGAACAAGGATGCGGATGGACTATCGCGGCGAACGCAAAGGATAGAAATTGATTCAATAAGAGCCATCGCGCAACAAGCGCAACAGCCACCGATAGAGCAGCTGTATGCGGCTGTAGATAGCCTACCTGGCTTATGCTATCCTACCATCTGTCCAGGGATGACCTGTGGTGAGTTGGAACGAGAACAGAAGTGTGACGAAGTCATTGGTAAGGTCTTGAAGTACCTCGAAATGGGGAGAAAACCATCACGTAAAGAGCGTAAAACGGAAAGTAAGTCTGTACTACGTGTATTGAAAACATGGGATCAACTATTTCTGCGTGACGGCGTTCTTTATAGAAAAACACGGACAGGGCCCCAAGGCCAAGACGTTTCTCAACTGGTTCTACCACGGTCACTCAGAGAGATTGCGTTGAGGGGAATACATAACGACGTAGGAGACTTTGGTCTGGAACGTTCGCTAGATTTGGCAAGAGGCAGGTTTTTTTGGCCCGACATGGCGAAAGATGTGGAAGAGTGGGTGAGAACTTGTGAATCATGTGTTTTAAGGAGAGCTCCAAAACCATCTCACGCTGCCGCATTAGTGAATATTACTTCGTCTGAATCACTTGAACTGGTTTGCATCGACTACCTGAAACTGCAACAAAGCAAGGGAGGATATGAGAATATCTTGGTTATCACTGACCATTTTACTAAATATGCTCAGGCTATCCCTACCAGGAATCAGACCGCGAAGACGACAGCTAAAGTACTCTTTGACAACTTCATTGTCCACTACGGATTCCCTTCGCGTATCCATAGCGACCAAGGACGTAATTTCGAGTCGAATGTCATTCAAGAACTATGTAAGATTGGTAATGTTGCAAGAAGCCATACCACACCGTATCACCCAATGGGCAATGGATTGTGCGAACGTTTTAATAGAACATTAATTCATCTACTTGCAACTTTGTCAGACGACAAGAGGACAAATTGGAAAGATTATGTGCCCGAAGTTGTCCACGCGTACAATGGTACAAAACATGACACTACAGGTATGTCGCCCCACTTTCTTATGTTTGGTCGTCATCCAAGGCTGGCAATTGACCTGTATTTCGGACATGATCCCAACGAACATACAAAAACTGATGTAACCACAACTTTTGTACAAGATTTGAAGAAGAAACTTGATTATGCGTACGAGYTGGCGAGAACCAAGACTGAAATAGCCGCAAAGAAACAGAAGAAGACGTATGAGAAACGTAAGGTTTTGTTTAACAAGTTGAATCCAGGAGATCGTGTATTGGTCAAAAATGTTACCCCTCAGGGAAAGCTGGATAGTTTTTGGGACAGACAGGTTTATGTTGTTGTGAGGCAACCGAACGACGGGATCCCTGTGTACATCGTGCGGCAGGAGGATGGTAAGAAGACCCGTACCCTACACAGGAACCTCTTACTGCCATGCCCA